GCGTTTCACCCATCCAGTACAGCGTTTCGTGGCCCAATAAGGGGTTCCACCGAAGGTCCCAGTGGCACCGCCCGCATGCGTCCGCCACCACCCAGCACAGCCCTTGGTCCCTGCGTTTCGCCCACCCAGTACAACGTTTCGTGGCCCCATAGGGAGCTCCACGGAAGGTCCCAGTGGCACCGCCCGCATGCGTCCGCCACCACCCAGCACAGCCCTTGCTCCCTGCGTTTCACCCACCCAGTACAGCGTTTCGTGGCCCAATAAGGGGTTCCACCGAAGGTCCCAGCGGCACCGCCCGCATGCGTCCGCCACCACCCAGAACAGCCCTTGGTCCCTGCGTTTCACCCACCCATTACAACGCTTCGTGGCCCCATAGGGAGCTCCATGGAAGGTCCCAGCGGCACCGCCCGCATGCGTCCGCCACCACCCAACACGGCCCTTGCCCTTGCGTTTCACCAACCCAGTACAGCGTTTCGTGGCCCCAAAGGGAGCGCCACCGAAGAAGATATTCACAATCGCGGTACTCACAACTGCATATGGTTGGGTCTGTCGCCAGGCTAATGTTGGTGCGTGGACCCCAAAAGGGGGCCCGACCACTTCTCCGGGGCCGGTTCTTCGACCTGAGTCGCTTTTTGACGCTCCCGAGGCCCAGCGAGGGCCCCCGGAGGCCGAAAGCTGGCAAAAAATCCCGCCGCTCCATCTCGTCGGGGGCGTCGGCTCCCAGGGGCCCGGCTTTCTTCACGACGCGCGAACGCCGGGGCCCCTACGACGCAAGCGCGGTCTGGGCGGTCTCTCCGCTCCTCCACGCTCACCGCCTGCGCTGCGCCCCCCGGCACGCCCTCGTCCGCCTGGCATGGGGCGGCCTCCTCTGGCCCGGTGAGCGGCTGCTGCAGCTCGCCAGCGGCGCTGGCCGCTCCGAGGACTGGCTCCTCCTCCTGCTGCTGCTCCGGCTGCCTGGCGGCGGCGCCGGCGGAGGAAGAGAAAAGCACATAAACGTAGAAACCTTTGGCGCGCCGCGCGCAATTCTTGGATCCGCGCCGGACGCCCCCTCCCTGGCGCGCGGAGCGCGCCAGGGGCGGCGCCGGAGGCGCCGCCGGGGGGCCTCCGCGCGGATCCAAGAAATCAGCGCGGAGCGCCAAAAGTTTCTGCTTCTGGCGTTTTCCCGTCTTCGAGCTGGGGCGGGCGACGGAGAAGAGCCCGGAGTGGCAGTTGAGGAAGCTCATGCACGCCATCGCCTCCCGAGGCAGAGTGTTGGACGGAAGAGGGCGGAGCCTGGGGCGCACGACGTAAGGACTTGAGCTCAGGCGTCTCAGGTCAAAAACGGTTTGAGACGGGACGGCTACGGACGTGCGGATGTCTGCAGCACGAGGGTAGAGAGCAGGACTGGCAATCGCGAGCGAATGTCCTTGCGGTGGCCCACTTCAACCTGAACTGGCCGCGCGTGTGAAAAAATGCGCATGGATACTAACCTTACACGAGGGCCACTTGCACTGCGAACCACATACGGCACAGGACTATACGAGGGCCACTGCACTGCGAACTACTGCGGAATTAACTTTGCCGGGGGTACACCTTCGAGGGAAGAGGCAGAGAGGCGTCGACTGCTTTGGATTAGTGCGTCCGTCTAAGTGCGTACGATCAGGGCGGTGGGAGTGCCATCCTCTCGATACTCCTGTTATTTAGAACCTGCGTTACAGTGACGGCGCTCAGTTCATGCGTGGTCCAGGCTGTATCCTCGAGGCATAACCGTTCATTCCAGGACACACTGTGCCCGGAGTGTTGGGCGATGGTGAGCACACTCAACGTGCACAATGTTCGCGCCGAGCTTAGCCATGCTTGCTCCTCATGTTCCTCCTCTTGCTTCATCATCATTATCAGATTCCTCCTCCACCTCCTCCTCCTCCTCCTCCTCCTCCTCCTCCTCCTCCTCCCCCTCCCCCTCCAACTCCTCCCCCTCCCCTTCCCCCTAGCCTCGTCTGCTGTACAATCAAACAGCCACCTAAGCCCAGGAACAGGGGGGAAGGTCGAGGGGCAGATGTTGGGGCCTCCTGGCTGCTTCGAGGTCATCCGAGGTTTCGAGGGGGTGCTGCAGACTCTGAAGAGTTCCTGGAGAAACAGCAGCATGGATTCTCTCAACGCCCCCCGGCGACTGCACTAGACTGAAGGACGCCATCTGTACCCCTATCGGGTGTTGCCAGAAGCGCCCCTGGCCCAGGGTGCTCCAGGATTTCCCAAAGGCCCCCACGGCCTCCAGAGAACCCCTCACGAGGCCAAGAGGGCTCCAGGGGCTCCAGAATGGAGTGAAAAGCTGGGGGCACCTTCTCGCCATCGCTCGGACGTCCCCTCCCTGTGCAGTGTTCGACTCCGTGCGTGCTTTTTGGGCAAGATGCTCCAGGGGTGCTCCTCGAGGGTCCTCGCCGAGGCAAAACATCACACGTCCGAGCGATGCCAAACCTTGGGCCAGGGGCACCGCTGGCAGCCCCCGAACCCACACCGACCCTGGCCGGGCCGTGCCTGGGCCCAGTCTCGGCGGGCAAGCCACGACTGGCTGGCCAGGCCTGGGGGCAGTATCCACCGATCCTGGGCCCAGGATCCTCCTCCTCCTCCTCCTCCTCCTCCTCCTCCTCCTCCTCCCTTCTCCTCCCTCCTCCTCCTCCTCCGATTCCTCCTCCTCCTCCTCTTCTTCTTCTCCTTGTTCTTCGTTTTCCTCTTATTGGCATTATTCTTCGGATTAGCAAATATGAGTATGAGTATGATTGTTCGTATTCGTCGAATTAGTATTGTTGTTCTGAACATGGTTAGTATTAGTCGTGCTATTATGTGTATTCGGTTTATTATGATTCGTCGTATCATGATCAGTAAGACTAGTATGGTTAGCCTTCTGCGTAGTGTTATTAGTGGTATGATTATTCGTAGTAGTATTATGACTATCATTCGTATTAGTATTCTTAGTATTAGTATGGATCGTTGTATCACTATTGATAGGATTCGCGGTATGGTTATACTTACTCGGGCTGGTATGTTTCTTGTTATGTGTCGTACTGCTGTCATCCGTGGTATGATACTTCTTATTCGTAGTCGCCTTCATAGTAGTACTCGCAACCGTCTTCTTACTACTATTAGTACCCGTAGCCTTCTTCGTACGATTAGTAGTATCATTAGCCGTGGCATTCGTAGTAGTATTCGTATTCGTCGTCGTATTCGGATGTGTGTTTTCTTCTTCTTAATATTATCAATTTCCCCTCCTCCCTCCTCCTCCTTTTCCTCCTCCCTCCTCCTCCTCCTACTCCGCCTCCTACTACTCTTTCTCCTTCTCCTCCTCCTCCTCCTCATCCTCCTCCCCATCCTCTTCATCATCAACCTCGAGGACCTGCTGGCAGCCGCCACCGCGGAGGCCAAGAAGGCCGAGGAGGTGCACCAGAAGACCATCGCCGACGTGGCCCTGGTGGATGCGAGGGCCGACGGGGTCGACGTGAAGCTGGGAATCATCGAGGAGACGGTGGACAGCGACTCGCTGGACTGGCTCTCGACAGACGACTGTGAGAAGGCGTACGCGTCCAACGACGGGGCTGCGCTGCGGCAGCTCTACGGGATGCGGCGGGAGGCCGTCGTCACGGCCATGCGCTCCTCCCAGTGCTTAGAGAGGCACAGGCTAGCCGCCATGATCGTGCCGTTGGAGCAGCACGAGGAGTGGGACTGCCAGCTGTGCCTTGAGGCGGGCGAGTACTTCATGGCTGGCGACACCGTCGTCAACTGCATCGCGGAGTGCGCCGATTGCGAGTGGCACGTCTGCGTCGACTGCTGGGCCAAGCACAGCCCGACGGTGCAACAGAAGGCCATCGACTACAAGGTCGGCGTGGGCTGAGCCTGGGGTTAAACCCAGGCTTCAGCCTACGCTAAGGGAAGGTCGCCCCGCGTCGTGCCCAGTGCGGCGGCGGCCGTGAAGGGACGTTGCGTCCCTCAGCCTCCTCCTCCTCCTCCTCGTCCTCCTCCTCCTCCTCCTCCTCACCCTCCTCCTCCTCCTCCTCCTCCTCCTCCTCCTCCTCCTCCTCCTCCTCCTCACCCTCCTCCTCCTCCTCTTCATCCTCCTCCTCCTCCTCCTCCTCCTTCTCTCCTCCTCCTCCTCCTCCTCCTCCTCCTCCTCCCGAGAGCCTCCAGGATGCTCTTCGGTGGTCCTGGCGGGGGAAAAACGCAGACGTCTGGCGATGCCAGGCTCGGTGGTGGAGGGGGGGGCGTCGACCCGGAGCCGGCGAGATCTCGCCAACAGGTCGGCGATGATGGGACCAGGATGGCAGGAGAGCCCAACACCGAATCGATGTAAGTCGCATCGGCGATCGAAATGAATCGGATCCGCGGACATCGACAGCCGAGTCGGGTGAAGTCGAATCGGCGGAAATCGGCAGAGCAGCCAGGCCAATCCTCGACGGCTCGAGAGATATCAAGCGTGTTCAGAAGCGTGCTGGGTCGCAAGCCCAAGCCCGACACCCGACCCTTTCTCCCTTCCCACTGCCGCCATGGCCAGCGCCGCGGGGCGCTCATGAACGGGGAGTGTGTGATCCGGATTGAGGTCGGCGAGGTGAGCGCTGGACTGCGGCACAACGGTCCTGAACCTGGATGGTGTGATAGACTATGCCCACATCGGCTTCCAGGGAGCAAGCGCATCGGGGAGGCAAGCGGGCCCTACGACGGGCTGCGCGAGCGTTGCAATTGGACGGGAGTGTCTGGCACCGTGGCAAGAGGTATACTCGAGCTACGGCAGCTGCTCTACTCTCGGATTACCATCATTTCACGGCTCAGACGACGTTGAGAATACATCTACTTCCTATGCATCGAGGTCTTTGACACCAGCTCGAGACCCCGCGGCCACCAGCGCCGCCAAGTACCACCTTCGCCAGCGTGCCCGACAGCACCGCCAACAGCAGCTGCTAAAGATTTGGGCGCACAACTGCGAAAGCCTCCTCCGAGCGGATCGCCTGGCCGAGATCCTTCGACTCGCCCGTGCCGCTCGTGCTGCCATCATTAGCCTTCAGAGTACCCTGCTGGAGCTCGCCACCCCGTGGACCACAGAAGGCTACAGAGTTATCCCGACTCCGCGCACGAACAAAACCAGCAGAGATGGCTGTCTGATTGCTTTCAACCCGAAGATGTTCTCCTTGAGCGAGCTCCGAATCACTCAGGAGTGGATGAGTGGACGACTACAGGGTATTCGACTCACTCGTCGAGGCCCATGAGAACGTGATATCTACATACTGAACGGCTACGCCCCACTGAACTAGGTCAGCCACGGCCGCATAGAAGCCGATCACCGCAAACGTGCCGCAGCCCATAAAGCCCTACAAACCCAGTTCTGGGACGCGCGTCGGGCGGCCCTCCGCCAGATCCCACAGCGCCTGGCCCTGATCTTCAAACTGGGCGCCAACGCAGCCACGTCCCCATCCCTGCCAAATGTTGGCTTCGCTGGACAGAGACGTCGCTATGCAGCCACCAACGCCAACGGCTCGCGCCTACTGGAACTCCTCCAGGACTACCACATGACGGCCCTGAACACGTTCGGCAAGAGCTCCCGTCAGAACGGCACGTGGAAACACACGGTGGGCAAGGGATGGACCACCATTGACTACATCTGCACCCGCTTAGCAGGCTCCTACGGCAAGCACGCAGCCCCTCTACTACAGCTACCAATTAAGCCTTGGCGGATACCGTGACCACCGACCAGTCGAAGCCTACGTGTACACTGGGCTCCGTGCGCGTCGCCAGCCTGAGGAGAAGCCTCTGCGATGGAACCGCGATGCCATGGTAGCTGACCTCCATGCTCTCAAGGACCCCGAGGCACCTACTCCGCAGCGCGTCCTCCAGATGCGCACAACCTGAGCACAGTGATGACGGACAGCGGCCTCACTAACCACTGGTGGACGACGTGTGGCGAGGAGCTGCGTTTCGCCACCCCCTCGGAATACTTCAACGCCTTGGAGCACGCCATCATTGAGGCTGCCGCCCCCCACTACGTCCTGGCACCCACGCAGACCACGCGCCCGAAGCTGACGGGCACCACCCTGGCCCTGATCGATACCAAGCACACCATCCAGAGACGCATGGCTACGATCGCCGACCCCGCTTGCACGCGCTTCATCGAGCTCCAGACCCAGTATGACGAGGCGGCCAGGGCGGCCGCCAAGGCCGCACGCTCGGAACGCCGACAACGTCTCGCTGAGACAGCGGCGGA